TGATACCGCGCTACATCACCAGGATCTGCACAGACGTGTCCTGGCGCTAACACCTTCTTCTGTCAATCTGACACGCACGGACTGGCCCAACACCTTAGCGGATGCTACAGTCATACAACGTACACGGATGTTTTCCAACACAGCACAGAGTCACAGAAAGGTTGTGGTCGGAAGGGACCTCCAGGGATCATCTAGTCCAACCCTCCTGCTCGAGCAGGGACATCAGTATCATATTCTATTAATACAACATCTGCAGACTTGCCCTAAAATACTAATGATGTTAATGTCAGAGAAAGCCAGTTTTTATATTACTATTTTATAGTTTTTTATATTTTTATGGGATTATTTTACATTGACAGGACATATACGCACTTGGCCCAACACATGGATACCCTGTTCCACCAACACGGCGTGGGGGAGCAATGGGGCAGCACCGGCTGCCCAGGGAGGTGGCGGAGCCACCGTCCCCAGCCGTGTCTGGGACACGGGTGGATGAGGCCCTTAGGGACACGGTGGGGATGGGTTTACGGTTGGACTCGATGATCTTGAAGGTTTTTTCCAACCATAACGATTCTATGATTCTGTGCTATATTTGGCCTAACACATTAATGTGTTGTTATGGCTTTTTCTAACATATAATATTGTATTTCGTCAATATGGGATATATGGGCTTTTCCTAGCATATTGATGTTGTATTCTATTAATACGCCATATATTGAACTAGGCCTAACATTAATATCGTGTTATATCAATACAGCTGATATGAACTTCCCCTAACATTATTGTATTCTATTAATACGACATATATGGATTTGGTCTAATGTTTGACTCACACGCATCTGCAAACCCAAGAAACAAGAAAACAGTAAAAAAAGTGGCTTGAAAACAAAATTTGCCCCAGAGCTAGATGAAAAGAATTTATATTCTTCAGGTTGAAATGTGGCGGACAGATGTGCGATAGCAATAAACATGATACCGCTTCGGAGCAGATGATTTGATACGACAAAGTGTGAAGAATGTCTGGAAAAAAAGAGAGAGACGGCGAATGTGCGCGAGGAGGAAACGTCTGAGCACGGAGAGCTGCGCCTGCCCCGGAGGAAAACGAGTTCCCGCGATCCCAAATCAATATGATTTGGGTCTGCCTGAAAGGAAACAGCAACAGGAGAAAACAAATAGTACGAGGAGAACATCACATAGTTGTTTTCAACGGGATTACATAAAAGTCATTCTCTGTGAAAGCAGTAAAACCTGCAAGAGAGTCGGGTAGCGCCTCCACAGCTGCTTCTCCCGGACAGGCCTCACAAGGGACGATTTCCACAGAACTAACAGCGGACAAATAAGTCGCGTTTGGGCAGTGACATTGCCAGAAAGCTTCACACGCAATTCGTCTGCTCTCACACTAACAGCGGGAAGTTTTATTTCCTCCACCCCAACACGAGGAAACACCGTAGTGAACTTGCTGCCCTTTGGAAGTCTGTTGTTTCCCAGAGGAGCCAAGCTGAGCTTCAGGTCTAAAACCCACTTTCTGGGGCCCTTTCTGGGCCCTTCTTGCTGCTGAGGCTGCAGGGCTTTGCTGGAAGACCCAGCATTGGCTATTTGCACTCCATGGTTACTCGGACTTCTCCTAAGGCCTCGTTTACCTCGGAAAAGCAAAAAAAGAGGATGCTAGAGCCACACGCATCCTGTCAGGAAACACGGGAGAGCGCCGTAATTTTGCATCACTAAGAGCTGCTCATTGAAGGATCTCTTATATTATAGACTGCCAAGATAGCACAGGCAGAAATTAAAGTCTGTAGCAAAGGAACTAATCAATCCTCCTTTCATTAGTTTCTTTGGGATCTAAGCACACAACTGCCTGCCAGGAGCTTCCCCTTCCTCTTTGCAAAAAAACCTCCAAGCAAAAAATCCCCAAACAGCTTTAAAAGATCTGTGTAAGGAAGAGACAGTGGAGATCTGGAGATGGCCGAGAGCTTTTAATGCACTTCCCTTTTTTTTGGACTCCCCGAGTTTAATCCTGATTTGAATCCCGGGGGAAGCAGTTGGCAGCTGTTCAGTTCATCGCTTGTCCTCTCGGGAAGCGGCGGTATCGGCACTCGGGCTGCCGGCGAGGAGCGGCGCCGCGCAGGGAGCTGCGGGGGCACCGAGGGCAATTCTCGGAATTACCGGGGGGAAATGTGGGAGAACCGCTTCCTTCACCATCAAAAACAATATCCCTGAAAATCAGGGATTTCAGTTAAAGATACCAGGGCAGCAGCAAGTATTATGGACTTCAGTAGATCCCTGGAGCTTCCTTCTGAACGGGCAGACACCCCTCGTCCATGGGCTCACTGGCCCATCTCTAGCCTCCCCGCGCAGCCTCCGCTGTGATGTCCACGGCCCCATGCACAAACCGGAGTCAGAAACCCCTTTGCAGGCGAAGGCAAATCCCAAGAGAACCAAGGGCCGCGCTTAAGCGGCGATTTCAAGGCGCAGACACTGCCCGGGGTCTCACCACGTCTGGCTGTGGAATCCACTCGTGGCCTCAATCCTTCCCCAATATCTACTGTCAGATGGCAACGGTTTTCCTCGGTACGGGCTAAATGCTCAGCCTGTCTTTTAAGCAAGAGGGTTTGTTTTCCTCCTGCCTCGCGGAGCTCCCGTTAATGGATATCCTTGCAGTCGAGGGCCTAGGGCTCAGCACCAGCGAGCGGAGAGGCAAAGGGCCGAAAACTGTTTCTCCAAAACCTGTTTTACAGTTGGGTTCCAGGTTTTGACCTCTCCTTAACAAGTTGAGAGATTTTCAGAAACATTCTGCATCAGCCTAACTGCATCAGCGGGTCTGTGAAAACCCCATCCTTAGGCTTGGCTCTTCAGAGAGTAACTTTAAATTCTCATGCGAATAGAAACCAGCACAGTGGTGACAGTCTGAGTGAAGGGAGAAGCTGAAACCCCAGCACTAATGCTGCGAGGTGGCAGCGCTTCTGGTACCCAATGATGACATCTAAAGAAGCCTCCTGTGTTCATTACGCCCACTGCTAATTGCCGTAGCAGAAACACGGGCATGGCTGGATGTGGCGGCATCAGGGCCGCTCCGGGAGCAGCGGGGAGGGTGACAGGGCTGCGTTAAGGCAGGAGCTCTCAGGTCTCATGACCTAAGTCCAGCAGGGAAGCGGGAAGCAGCGGCGGCACCGGGACACGCAGAAGCTGCCTGCGAAAGGGGGACAGCTCTGC